TTGAGGTGAGGGCAGTGAGGGAAGGTACATATGAGGAGGAGATCGAAATGCCACCAAAATGTATTGTATGAAAAGTGTACTTGTGTCTTGCAGTGCTTGTGGAAGTCTGAAGAGGAGGAGGTTTGTTCACTTCCATGTGGGTGCTGGGAATGGAACCTGGGTCCTCTGCAAAAGCAGTCAGTGCTCTTAACCACTGAGCCATCTCTCCAGCCCCAACACTTCTAATGTTTTACAATGGATGTGACAGTCTAAAAATGCTTCTTTTGCCAGATCACAGGAAGATGTTTTCTCTTTAGAAAGGCTTTTGTTCAAACTTGGGTTTCTTCCCTTTACATATCTAATGCATTCACACTATGTTTTTTTTTTTAACGGAAACAGGAACAGACAGACAGACAGACAAACACACACACACACACACACACACACACACACATACACACACACACTCAGCACACATCTTTTCCTTCTCTTTTATACTGTCTTTCCTATAAAGCAGATGGTGATTATAATTTCCCTGGCCCTTCACAAAGCTGTTTCTCTAGCAACCTTCCCTAAAAGACTGATTTAAAAACAAGCAAAGCTGTTCTTTGAATTCCATGCTAATCCTTCTGAAAGTCCAACACCAAATGATTTTTGCTTTAAAAAAGTAATCCAGTTTATATTAAAATACTTTAATCATAGCTGTACTACAGAGGTTAGGGCAAGAGAAGTTAGAAATAATTCTAAACTTCCTTCTTAGAAAATGGAATAAATTTTATGGGGCTGGAAAGATGACTTAGTGGTTCAGAGCACTGACGGCTCTTGCAGAGGACCTGAGTTTGATTCCCAGCACCCACATGGTGGTTAACAACAATCTGTAGCTCCAGTTCCAGGGGATTTGATGCCTTCTTCTGACCTCTGCAGGCATTGCACAGCACAGGTGCACTTACATGCAGTCAATATAGTCATACGCATAAAATAAAAATAATAAAATATTTTTAAAACTTTTAAATGGAATGTTTGAAAATTCTCCATTCATATCCAGTTCATACAGGTCCTTCCTTGCCTCCTTTTTATTGGAAGATGGGAAGAGTATGTGTAGGAGACAGAAGAAGTTTGAAGAGATTTAATATGTATCTGTGGCTGGAAGTGTGATCTAGTGTCAGAAGCTTTGAGCTCCTTTATCTGGGCCTCCTGAAAACTGTATTAGATGATCATAGCTCATAAATATTACTCATTTTGAAGAATTTATAAGCAAAATCCATTCTCTAATCAAATCACAGTACAAAGCCTATGAATTAACTCTTAAATACATTGCCTAATTTCATCCTCCTCACTGAAGAATATAGGGTTGTATTATAATCTATTTAGTACTATAATCTAATTGTACTATAATCTAATCAGGATGCATCTGAATGAACTATGAATTCAGTTGTATTATCATTATAACTTTAGATGAGCTAAATAAAGTAAAAAAAAAAATCTCAGGGAAGTTATTTGTTACTCCTGGATTTAGTTTGATTATCTTAAAAAGATTTTCTGGAGACAGTGTGTGAGATCTTTGCTAGATCGCCATTTGATATAAGCACACTGAGTCTGTCATCTGTAACCTAGCATTTCTTCAGTGCCTGTATTGGGAGCTCTTACTCAATACTCAATATTAGGGAACATTACAAAGGAAGCAAATTCTTCACTATGTCTTCTATTCTGAGTAGAGCCAATTAGCATGCTCTCTCTGTCTCTCTCTCTCTCCCTCCCTCTCCCTCTCCCTCTCCTTCTTGCTCTCCCTCTCCCCACTCTTCTCTTCAGTTAGATGATCTCACAACCAATGATCTTCACATTAAAAATTCTTTGAGTGATAACCTCCTGACCAAACCTACCACCCAAAAGTAACCATGACAAATCATAATGAACTGCAGTTTAAATTTCTGATTATATGTATATATATAATACATATGTAATATACAAATATATTATTGGAATGCATGATTCTTTGAAAGTTACATTCATCTTACTGTTTTTGTTTCATCACACACATGAAACCAACGATACTATAGCAGCAACTCAATCTGTTTGAGGCTTTGATCTTTTTGAAATGTTGTTATCCTTTATCTGCTTTTCTTTGGACTCTAACTTCATTCTAAATTGTTTTGACAAATTTCCAAACTCAGAAACCAGTAGTTCTTTCTGTTGTATGTCTGTTCAGTAATACCTTATAAGTTCCAGGAGGGATTTAGGGGTTAGAATCAGGAATCATGTTTATATGAGGAAAGGAGAGGATATGGAAAATGGGTTAAGCTGGTTCTTGCTCTCCTTTCAGTCACTGCAATTGCTCTGAGACTCAGTTTCTTTTATAACATTAGAATGTAATATTCTCGTTTTATAGTGCTTCAGCATATGTTATCGAATATCATGAATAGCATTTCTTCAATTACTGGTAAGGGGAATTAAATATTTCAGTATCGTAAATAATTTAGGATTTAATTAGCTGAAGCAGAAGAGAACTCCAGTGTAATGTGCTACATAGTACCACTGCTTACCTAATAAACCACACCACTGACTGAGCTGAGGTGGCCTCCATCAAGTTCAAGAAGGAAAGCTGAAATTGTCAGCACAGTCCTGTGAGGACAGACATCAACTTTACCCTTCTTTAAAAGTTCAGCATTTACAGACCAACTTTTAGAAAATGTATGCTAATGCCTGCATGTGATAAGGATGCTCAAAGGTTGAAAATGAGCCCAGTAGTGGCAGCGCTGGAGGAATGCTTGCATTTATGTATTGTCCTTAAGAAAATTCTTTCCCTCCACATGCAGCAAACCCCTTGCAACACCCACCCTCACTGCGGCACTGGGAAACAGCCTGGATGTGGGGTTATTACAGAAGTAGCCACTGAGGGGAGCCGGCCGTGGGACTGCCCTCCCACGTTGCTATGACGATGAAACTGGCGGGTGCACAGCCTTCCCCAGTTAAGTGCTGGCTAAAGAAGGTGTCGAATTGCGATGTGCTAGAAGGCTCGGGATTACTTGGAGCCAGGAAAATATCTGAAAAGTCTGGCTACTGTTCCTCCGCCTCGCTCTTGGACATCTCCTTAACCCTGCCGGAACACGACACGCAGAGTGAAAATGGTCCACCACTCAGGCTCCATTCAGTCCTTTAAACACCAAAAAGGTCAGTGGGGAATTCGTGCCCTCCTCCTTGTGGGCACCTAATCCATCTCTGCATGTTCTTGTAATTATATGTAGGAGCATCCTTTCACCCTTCCTGGGCAGAGATGCAGAACTCTGTGAAATTAAAACCCTCTGTCATGCTTCCCTCTGCATTCAAAATGAGTCTGATACTCTGATCCTCTGCACAGTGCCGGGGAGAAGTGGGATATGTCATGTCAGAACTAAATTGTGTGTCCCTTAAGATAGGGTCAGTGCATTGCGGTGAACTCCTTTAGGAGACATGGTCTCTGTAGCACCATCAGATTTGCAAAATGAAGGATTGGACGATGTTTGCCCCATGTGTGTGATTCAGGTGCTTATAAACTTTACAAAAGCAGAATTATTACTTGCAATACGTTTGAACATCCTATGACACAAGTGTTCTTGGAGAATCCCTGAAGTTGGCTCATCCCAGTTGAAGTGTCTCTGAAGAGATAAAGTGGAAAACTTTATCTCTCAGTCCCATGGTTGAATATGGGGTTCAAGTTTTTTATCGTGATTGCGTTTTTCCTCTAGAAACTCCATAGTATCCTTAGTGTCTTAAATTTGTAACTAGGTACAGTGGAAGGAACCTGTGTGTGCAGTCAGATCAAGAGTTCTTCCAAGTTATCATTACTCTTTATTCCTTCTTACTTTATTTAAAACATTATGCATAGAGGACATATTTCTTTGAGAAATATAGATTATGGAAGTTTTATTTTGCAAATCATTTATTAAACAATATTGTTATTGTTTTACATATTATGACAATTATGTCATATTTGGTCACATAGGATCTAAGGCATGTAAATTTTGGAGTAATATCTTTGGCAATTAAAAGTAAATATCTTTTAAGTATTATAATCCCTCCCTGATACTAACAATATTTTTTCTGATAATTGTTAATGTAAATCTTTAACTTTGTTATTAAACAAAATCTTAGATTCATTCAGAATAACTTAGCAAGATATTCTTTAGGTGGAATACTGAACTGAAAGAGCTTCTGGATCATAACTATAGTCTGCACAATTTCAAGAGCTTTAGTATCTTTCAAATATATGTTAGAATTGGTGAAGAAGTGAGAGACTGTGGGAGTAGACCAAAATTTGTGCTCCTAAACAGTTCTATTTCAACTCCGAGTGTTCTAAAGAAAATTAAAATACTTCAGAAAATTTTGTGTTCTTGCATCATTAAGTACACATAAACTTTCAGGATAAAAAAAAAAGGTAATGGGAACCTTAAAATTGCCTCACACAGTTAATATGTTCCAATTCATGACTCTAAGTGACTGCTGTTTGTGACCTGCAACTCTACATTGAGCTAACTTCCATCCTTTGGGGTAAACACACAGAAATAGTATGTCTGGATGAGAGGGAAGTTCAATTTTTAATATTTTGAGGAATCCCCGTACTAATTTTTCTGTGGTCTTTTCCCTCTCCCTCGGTCAGATTGGAGAGATAATTGAAAATGTGAAGGGAGAGATTTTTCCTCCTGAGCCAGATGAAGAAGAAAGCTGTACTTTTAATCCACTTTTAGGAAATGATTTTAGTAATACAGTTATACCATTTATTTTTGTTTTAATCAAGTAAATTCACTATCATTTTTTAAAAAGTAGAATCCAATTTTAAAGTATTTTCATATTTGAAAAGCAATTAATGTTTATACCTTATATGACTCCTAAATATTCACTTATGTATTGGAGGGCTGTGTAGTAATACATTTGCGACTCGAATTCCATCACTGACAATGTTCATTCTCATTAAGGAAGTCAGCATAGATGCCAGAATAGTTATCCAGAAAATTAAATGCTATTTGTCAGTCCAAACATCTCCATTATGATTATATATATAGTTTTTGTTTAGTGTTTGCATATTGATCCTGAATATCTTAGTTGCAGGTTTAATGTCTCTTAAAATCTGTTACTGTTTGTGTGAAAGGTAATTGATATCTACCTTACAGAGTTCTAGTATGATTGCTAATTTCCATTGCATGTAACTGGTATTCAAAACTTTAGTTATTAGCAAGTTAATTCTTATTATTTTGAATATAAGAAATTTGAGTGTTAATATAAAAAACTCTCAGTAGGACACACACACACACACATTTTGCTTTTTCTCTTTTTTGCTTCATTCAGTTTTACTATCTGTGGATGTACCTTACAGAAATCGGTGGGTAACACCTGGCTAGTTCAGTTGGTAGAGCATAAGCTTCTTAAACAGGTGGGGGTTGGGGAGTGGGGAGGACCTTATAACAATGATCTTTTATGATAGTATTCTAGAATTCAGTTAAAATTATAAACACTACTAAATTTGTGTTCCCATCCCACAGGAAAATTTCTGAAAGAACTGCCAAAGAGTTAATTTAGATACACAATTAACTTCATAAGTTTAAATTGTCATTGCAGTGAAATGGTATTTATTCCCTCTATACTTAACCCACATTAACCCAGTCTTTGCTGTATATAAGAAAGGGACTGTACTCTATGACTGCTTTATATAGAACATGTTAATTCCTGAGCCTCTTACTGCAAAATCCTTCTTCAGAGAAGTTGATGAAGTAGGTGATCTGAGAGAGTCACTGAAAATCTTGCAAGAATTGTAGGCAAGACTTTGTATAAAAATGTAGGCAAGTTTTTGTATAAAAATGTTGATATCATTTTCTTGATAATACCATTTGTGTTTCAGGAGGAGGCATCAGAACACATTTTTGAATTTATCTTCTACTTTAAATAATAGATAATAAATAAATCTGTAACTCCAGTTCCAGGGCATCTGACACCCCCTTCTGATTTCCTCAGGCATTGCATGACTCTATAGGCCATATTATATATTACATATACATATATAGTATATAATGATATACTCAAATAATAGTGCATGAAATTAGATGCAGGGGTAGTGGGGGAGGTATGGATAGGGGAAGGAATCTAAATACCATCAAACTATATTGCATGAAAATTGCAAAATTAAAAAAATAACTTCAGCAACAATGGCAAGTAAAAATAATTTGCTTATTTTGGTGTTTCAATGGTAACTTGGAGTGTTTGTTATTGCAGACAAGTTGGAGGGCCCTTGCTTTTGTTCCAGCACACCTTGGAGTAACTCATGAGCTAGCATAGAGCTAATGTCTGGGTGAGATTTAATTTTGCTTCCTAGCCTAGTTTGCCATGTTTCACTTAATTCATTGATGGACTCATGTGTCCTACACGTGTGGATGAGAAAAGGACAACGATGGTTCTGGCTTCCCATGGCTGGTTGTTTACCAATATAGCTACCAAGATTTTCAGGGAGACAACAGGTCACATCAAACACAGCCTGTCTCAACAGTCCTGGGCTTAATGAGATCAGCTAAAGCTGTTAAGTGATTCATTAAAATCCTAAATGACATTTGGCTAAACATAAAAAAGTGCATTTAAAAAATAATTCTCCAGCATCGAGCATTTCCTACTCAGATAAACTGTTTTAAAATAATGTTCCTTAACGTTTACATGAAAGCTTACAGACTGCAAATCACATCCATTATCTTATTTAAGTAGCCACTGCAAGTGCCCATCTGAAAAAGTCTTTCTCAATTACCTAACTCTGTGCTCAATTCCTATTTTGTTATATACAGAACACTCCTGGGGGAATTGCCTAATCTCAAAAAAAAAAAAAAAAAATCTGCTGTCTCAACCTCTGTTTCCCTCTGGATAATTCCTTTAGTATTAAAATGTTCTAACACCCCTTTAGAGAAACAAAAAATCAGAAGACATGAATACAGTGACAGAAATTAATTCACCTATGAGCACTAACTCCCCCTAGTATTTCCATAGTTTGTTCTTTTATTTCTGATTGAGGAAAGAAGTTGTCTCTTATAAAAAACATCCTAAATCATAGTGACATAGTGGAACATGTTGAAGGAGTATTAAAGTTTTATCATTATCAGACCCTTATTTCTGAATACTGTAACAAAAATTTAAAAGGCATTTTGCAGTATTTTATAGTCCTTAAAGATTTTG